GTCCTTGAAAGAAAAGTCCTTCAAAACACAAGACTTGACAACAACAACAAGGGCCTTCAAACTATCCAATGCCAATGCGCTCTTCGATAGATCCTCGAAAGAATATTGTTCAATACAAGGCAATAACAATTCTACAAATGCTCCGATGTACAATACTCGCGGTTTCACAGGAATGGAATCCTTTTGAAATGTATTTTCAATTGCTTCTAAAGAAAGTCGCACCTTTGTAGAATATTCAAAATGGTCCATTCTGGTCTCCAGACAATGCCGACAGAGGTTTAGTAATTCCTCGAAGAGTACATTCCAGCAGTCACTTTCATTATCAAAACTCGCTTCACGAAAAAAATCTATGGCTGAAATAAAAAGCTCTTCATTCTTTAAACCATTGAGAGAACAAGTCGGATACATCACCATGTCAAATAATATCTTTGCTTGGAAAGGCACGAATGAATGTCTCGAATTCCTCAATAAGTTCTTCAATCCATTCATCAATGTTAGAAACGAAGGCACATTGGCTTCGTCTATTTCATATTTATCATTTCGTGGAATGTATTGCTCGATAATTTTCCAAAAACGCTCCCAAAACATGATTTCTAAACTTCTTTCCTGTCCATTTATAACATCTTGAACAATCGCTTCTGAAAAGAGACATGATTTCTTGAGCTATCCTATATGGATATTCATAAAGAAAACACAAACCTTGGTCACAAAAGCAGTCAAAGACAGACATCATCATATCCACTCCAGCCTTGCAGAGCTCTGTCCTTGGATTGTTTAAACAGCGCAAAACAAACTGTACAACTTGGGACCAGAATTCAATTATGTCCTCTTCATCAAGAACAAAACTACCCCAGAATTGATAAAAAAGTTTCACTATGCCTTCTAGAAAAATGATTCTACTCTCATCCCACTGCTTTTCCATCGTATTTCTGCTGTGGTGAATTCTTATATTTGTATCAAGCTTACTTGATTCTGAATATTCATTATGGTTATCTTCAAACAAAAAATAACAAGTAGGAATCAGAAAAGTTTGACAGACCTGCTTCCAAAAGCCTGGAAATTGTTTACTTGCTGCAACCTTTACCACATCAATAATCATTCGTAAAGTTGAATTCCTTATTTCAGGACGTCCATCTCGGGTAAGAACGCAAATTTCAGTCATGATTGAAGCAAGGTGACTATAATACAACTCAAGTTGTCGCGTGTCGTAGACCAACTTGCTTTTATCAATCTCAGTTTCTCTCCAATGTCTTGAAACAGAGTCAATAGTATTCCATATATATCCTAGGCAAGTCAAAGATAAATTCAAGTCCTTCAAACTTTGAATACAACGACACAAAATCTTTGACCACAAATGCAAGCATTCCGTGTCATAGGGCATACATGATATAAAATCTTTCGATAATATAGTGATTAGGCGAAAGATTATAAGTTGGAAATCTTCCTTCATTGGAATCTCGTACAACATCTCCAAAAGAGTGTTCCAGGAGTGCACAGAATCCAGAATATGTGAATAACTCTGCAGAATGTCTGTGATGGCTTGTAAAACGCGATCAAACACAACAATATTCTCCAAAACAATCATAGAGCGAAATAATTCTAACAAGAATGGATCAGTGCAATGAAAATAAGCATCAATGTCGGCATCTGCAATCATGAGATGGATAACTTTGACGATAATATTTACGCCCGTTATTTGAACTTCATCAGGAACTGAATTATCTGTCATCAAATTACCAGCAAATTCGGCGCAAGTCGATAATAAAAACTTCTTCAGAGACGTATCCACTCTTTCTAAACATTCTCCCAACCATAAAAGACGCTGAAGAAATATTTGATCCATTCGGGGCTTTTTCTTAAGTGATAACTCAGTATAAGTTGTGCACTCTCGGTATATCTCATGAAAGCATTGCGATACTATCAAACGAGTTTGCTGCGCTGAGGAATTCCTCAACAACTCTCCAAAGAAATCGTTCAAGTCAGAAGATAATTTGCGAGAATCTAGAGAAAACAACACATAAACAAGGATTCTAACAGCAATAAATAAAAAGTAAGTACCTTCAACATTATCCTGACTCGATAAAAAGTCCAACAGAAACACAAGCGAGAAAAAGTCGGACAAAGAAGAGTTGTTTTCATCCGAATTCTTTAGAAACACAAAACATTTTACCACATCCATAATTAATGGAAGAAGACTTGAGATATGTTTCCGTACTAGAACTGGATATGTATTCCAATGGTCCTATAATACATATAAGCGTTCATAAATGCAACTCATTGGTCAATTACAACCTTCAGAGGCAATAAATCTTCTCTCAATACTCCACAAATATACTTCAAAAGTTCATTGAGTTCCGCGTACATTTGCATGTTTTTCAAAGACTCAATAATACATCTCCATGTTTCTATATAACAAAAGTGAAGCAATGAAGACTGATGATGTCTTGAGTAGTATCTCAGAATTTCTTGAATCATGGGAAGGATTGTTCGAACAATAGTTTCCCATACATTGAAAGTATTCCTGCATTCATTCTTCGCAATAGAAAAGCTTTCAAGAGTTCGCTGAATTATTTTTAAAATAAGGAATGCTCGCTGATATTTTGTATCTATAACATTTGGAAGAATTCTGACAACTTCCACTTGCGCATCAATACGAGAATCATTGGAAGAAAAAACATTTTGCGGTATTTTCGGTACAAGTCTTGTGAAGAAGCTAAACAAATCTTTAAAAATGGTCAAACAACTTGTCCTCCAAACTTCTGCATCTAAAATATTTGAGGAACTTGAAATATATGAAACTAAAAATATGGATTGATCATCTGAAACTTGAAACAAGTCAAACATTCCTCCAAGAAAGACGTTGATCTTCTCTTCAGGACATGAGAAGGAAAACATACTGGGAAACAGCTCATGAAAAGTTCCTACACATTGCTCCGGTAATATCTTGATATAGAGCTGAAGATAATCAACGAAGAGCATCAAAAAGCTTGATAAGTCGTCCTAGTTGATTGTAAAGACTCTTCATCACAAAATCTCTCTCTCTCTCTTTCTTTCTATTTTTGTACTTACAGTTCCTATTTCTGTCAAATTTTCAACGCTCAAAACTTGAGGAAAGACTTCCAAGAGTAACTGTTTGAACACTATATTCTCGATAAACGCTGGAGAGCGAATGCAGTCCATCAATATCTGCAATCGTTTGAAACAGAACAACTTATAAAATCATAATGCAAATACCTGATAAACTAATGAGCGTCGCGGAGGGTGACCTGCAAGTCGATTATTCGAAACAGTCGACTTGGATACCATGCGGCATAAATCTTGAAACAGAAGATAAGCACTGGTCATGGATGGAGTCAACTCATTTAAAGATGTATTCGAATCCTGCGAACGAACTACTTCAAAAGCTTCAGAGACTATTTGTCGGAAACCTGCTTCCGTAGCAGCTTTCCACTCTGGCTGCAACAGTTCATCCCTTAAACACTTCAATAGGATAGAAAGGCCACGAAATAAATAATCACAATCAGGATACTTTTGTTTCACGCAGTATGAACAAAATAGTATCAAAACTTGAAGTGACTTCAACTTGTGTTTGCTTTCTATTTGGGACGCTAACTGAAACAACAAAAACATATGAGCAAAACAAATAGCTGGAAATCAACCACTAACCTGAGTCTCTAAAAAGTTCAGGAGCTGATCTCCATAGGTATCATCAAAGGTCCCATGTGAAAGAAGAAACTCTACAGAAGATAAAGAAGAGGTAACTACTTTGCTTTCCTTGGATTCAAGACCCTTAAAGAGAGTAAACAACTAGTATTCAAGTTTCTTGTAGACATACTGTGATCAGAACAAACACAACGCTTTGAAGAACCAAGTCTTCTTCCAACTGTTCTACTCTATGAACGTTCTGAATACACTCTTCGACAACTTGACGGAACTTTGACTGCTTTGCTTTTGTTTCTTTCAAAAGAGCTTGCAGTTCCTGTGTCAAAAATACAAAAATGAGGCCTCTTTATATTAGAACCCTTTAGACAACTAACCTTCTCAAGACTAGACCACAAACCTAACGTAAGCATCTCCAAGTTAAACAATTAACGACTTGGGTAATTGGACACATATGTTTTGTGAAAGTTTCTGTTGTGTTAGCCTTCGTCACGCACAAAATTTTTCAGTTCATGTGAGCAAGCTTCAAAAGAATATTCTATTCCTTGTGAAATGTCGTTCTCGTACTAAACCTTTCCTTTCTCCCCGAATGAGTGGTATAAACGGTGGCTTAGACTACTCTCGTAAGTTACTACTGTGCAAGTGATCTTTTTCAGTAAAAATTTCTATTTTTAGTTGACTTGAATGATTTCTCTCCAGAAATTCAGGAGCAAATAAAAACTCTTCAGAAAGGAGTTCAGACTCCCAGAGAACTTATTGAAACAACAAAGATACTTGCTGGTTACACGGATAAGAGAATAGTGCCTGTGCTTGTAGACATTCTTGGATTCAATAACCCTGTTGCAGCAAGAATTGCAATGGAAGCTGTAGTTGGTTTTGGAATCGAATCCAAAGGATTCTTAGTGAAAGCAACAGGGGCTTTCAATTACGCAGTTAATGCATATGCATTGAAAGCCCTTGGTTTGCTTGGATTTCCTGATACCATAGAAGTTTGTTTACATCACGCTTCACAAGGAACAGTTCCCAATGTTCGAAGAGCAGCTATCATTGCTATAGGAAGACTGCGTTACCGAGAAACTGAGTTGCTTTCTGTTATCGAAAGTTTATCAGCTTTTCTTTATCAAACCGACTGGTCTGTACGCTATGCGGCTGTTGTATCCATCGAGTCTCTTCTTAGGCAATATTCAAGACAAAGAAATCATAGAGTTACTACAGTTGCAAAGTTGAAAGAAATGGCAAGTTCAGATGACGATTTTCTAGTTCGTTGTAGGACAGAGTTGGCTTTGCAAAGAGTTGAAAGGCAAAATTTGTCGTAAAAATGATAAAATACTTTTTTTTCTACGGATAAACTTAAAAGCACTCAGCAATTAGTTGTTCTGAGCTTTCAACGTTGCAAGTCCTAAAGAGAAGTTTCTATCAAGAAAGGTACTTGCGAAACTAAACAATTCGATCTAGAATGACCAAGTCAATTCTTCACTATTATTCATCTTTCCATTCCAAACCATCATTTTGGAGACCGTCTTTTAGAAACTCTAAAGTTCGTTTTCTTCGCATTTTCCTTACAAATGCTTGCCATATGTATATAACAACACAAACCAAAAGTACAGTAAGCACTACAGTAACTGCAATTGTGGCAGTTACTGGAAAGCCATCTGAACGGTGGAATACCAACGAACCATTGACAAATATTGGAAAAAGGTCCTTCAACAACGAAATAATGATTTCGAATGTGATTAGACAAATGATAATGATTTCAAGGTCGCTATTATGTTTAAACTGAAGTTCCTGGGATAATAAATCGAACAGCTCACGTACTATTTCCACTCTTTTGTTCAAAAGTTCAGCTCGCTGTCGAAGTTCCAAGTATCTTTCAGCGCTCCTGTAAAGAGGTTCGAAGGCTTCGTATTCCCAAAAGAATTCTGGAGTATCCAATACATCGGCATGCAGATAGACTTGATGTCGATCAAGAATTAACCTACCCAAGTTCTTTGATATTTCTGTTCTAGATTGACTGATAGATCCATAGCGAGCCAACTCCTCAGGTAAGTGCCTTGTTGCAGCAATAGTGTTCTGAACAGAATCTTCAAAAGCTGAAAGTTTTACTGATTGCGCCATGGCGTGAGAAACTGCTAGTTTTTCTAAGACTGCTCTTTCTCCCGTCGTTTCCACCAGAGTTATGCAATCACGGGATATTTTCCATTGACTACCAAAATTATATCGAAAGCTATCCATTTCCGGTGAAGAGAGAGGAGTTCTTTCAAAACTGCAGACTGTTTGCAATACAAGTGATTCGGATTCCTCGTCAAGGCCCCAAGTGACCACAGCACCATATGGGAACACAAAAATATCAACGACTGGTTCGAAATCCTGATATGTCGCATGAATAACATCACCATAAAGTTCAACTGGAATTCCCATTTCCAAAAAGTGTTGGAATAGGGATCCCATCCTATACTCTTGGGCAGTGCAAAAGCTGGTGGCTCTTCCAAAGTCATCCTGTGTGAAAGAACCCAACAAACCTTTTGATCTTCTCTTTCTAAGCCATCGCTCAATATCCTCCTGGAAAGGACTCTGTTTCAAACCCAACTTCAAATTCTTGTTGTCAGTGCTCTCACGGTCTTTTTTAAAGTCTGAGTTCACAGAGGCGACAACATAAACCAAGTTTTGCCGAACAGAAAGACGACTTCTTAAAAGTCTTCTAAAATGATTTCTTTTTGGCTTCCTCAATAAGTTATAGTTATCAAGGAAAGATAAAGAATATTTAGACAAACTTTCTCTTCTGAGGCAACCAAAACATATCGTAGTTCTATCTGGAAAGGCAATCCGACTACTCATCAATGTGTGATGGTGAATAAAGAGTCGTTGAAGGACGCTATTCAAAAAGCCTTGAAAAGTGGAGACTGGTTAGACTTGGATGCTTATTTCAAAGCTGTTATTGAAGGACTTGAAGATTTTCAGACGTTCTATGAACTGCTTCCTTCATTTTTATGTCAAGTTTTTGGTTATGAACAAGCAGGGTAAGTGATCGAACTCTACTTTGACGTTTTCCTTATGGGCTTGCGAAACAGTATTCTAGACTCAGTTGAAACTTTGGATAACAATAGAAATACCATTCTTCGTCTTCTTGGACCCAGAAGCAACTTCTTTTTCTGTTTAGAAAAATGTAGCTCGAGTTTCACTTTTTATTTCCCTGTTTCGAACTTACCTTTATGGCTACAAAGAGCCCTTGAAGAACAACATTCTCCCGTCAGCTCACAAAGTAGCTTGTTAAATACAATTGTTGGCAAAGAGGTTTTTCTATCTTTCTGCAAGGGTCGACTTCGACAAAATGCTGTCCAAGAACTGGAGTTGAATACCACAGAATATTTTCTTTTTTGTTTGATTGCCAAGTAAGTAAAATTGGTAAGAGTTACTTGTGTTCTGAGCTCTTTCTTTGAAGTGCTTTTTGGAAGAAAGATTTGCCAGTCTTGGAAGGAGACTCCCCAGTTCCAAGTAGAGCCTTTCACCCTGCTCTAGAGCTTAAACAATTTCTATCCCCGAGGCAGGGTTCTGGAGGAGTGCCAAGTCAGCATTGTTTGAAACTTGAAAGATGGTTGAATTTATACTTTTTATATATGTATCTCGTTTACTTTATTCCAAGAAAAGAAGCCATATGTTTTCTGGACGGTAGAGATGCTTATTTCGCTAGGAAATACGGCGAATTCTTTTGGCAACTTTTTTGTAATTTTTATACACTGAGTGAAGAATCTTTTATGACAAGCTCAGGATCACTGCCATCGAAATTCGTATTTTGTATATTGACTGTTGCAATTTCATACATTCGTCCTTTGTTTGTTAATACAGATCGTCAAACAGTTTACGATGAGCGATATTTATCATCAGACAAAAGAGAATTAAAACTTTTCACTTCTGACGATGCTTGGAACTTTACCGTTCGAGGTATAATCGAATTTTTACACCTCTGCAGTGTACAGTGGTCTGAGTCACAAGTATTGGTTGACTTTATCTATCTTGCTTGTTGTATATTTGCTATGGCCACTCCATGGATGCCTATCGAAGTGTGGTTAAACATTCCTAGCTCTATTCGCCTTATTGGATCGAATGTTGAATTCAGTTACAATGCAGCCAACTCCAAAGTTTCCACGGATCAGTCCTTTACAAAAAACTCATTCGAAGGGTCAAATACCATTCAGGAAACTTGTGCAATAGATTGGAGTGATTTTATCCGTAGCTACAAGGACTTATATGGTGCTCTGATTCCTTTCATCATTCGAAAGGCAGCGATCTTGGGTGCTTTCAAAAATTCGCACTTTCTCTTGCAGTTGAAATCTTTATCAAACAGTTTTCATTGTCGTAGCTTTGAAGAAGAAGATTCCTTATTCGTTCTCATAAGGAATGCATATGCTCATGTCTCGGAAACTTATGATCAGTCTTTGTACTCGCTCTCGAATGCTGGTGAACTTTGTGCCTTTCCATTTTTTCACCAAGGTATGTGATAGCTATTATGAGTTCGAAATACAAAATGAAGCATTATTATTCAGGAATTTATAGGGATCTTAAAAACTTTCAAGGTGAAACACTCAAGCTTCTTTTTGAGTCCTGGAAACTGTTGCGACCATCTAGTCGCATTGGAATAGTACTTCAAAATGATTTATCTTTTGGTAGTTCTTCGTCAGACTTGAGATTTCCAAAGGAGTTTTTAAAGGAGTTTAGAGGTTTATTTCTAGTCTTGAACCTCGGAAATTCTTCCATTTCCACGTCTTCTCTTGTAGAAAATGCTCCGACGACTTCAAAAAATCTGTTTCGTTATCCTTACATGGGAGAGCCCTCAAATGTAGGCTCGAAACAATCACAGACAAGAACAAATGAAATGACATCTGTCAGATATGTTAAAAGGGCTATAAAATATCATGGAGATCCTTGGTTGGCTCCTATATGTTCCTACGAATGTGAATCTTTGGTTCGTTTTTTGTATCAGGTGCATCTCTTTCTATTGAGCAAATTTCATATCGATTTGAATTTTCGGTTTTTGGCTTCTTACTTCTTTCTTTGCTATTTCGTGATATTGTTTCTAGTGCTGTGGTTTGTTCTCTATTAGCAGAATACAAGGCTTGAAAATGATGAATGGATTGACGAATAGTAATGTGTACTCGCTTCTTTTGCTGGAATGCTCGTTTTATATTCCAAGTCGTGCTTCCAAGTTTATACAAAGAGTGTAAACTAATTTCGTACGCCCTAAGGCTTCAAGATAGCATCTTCAACTTGTTCCTTTGAATGACTATATCAGTCGATGGAACTTTTACTGTATTGTGTATATTCTATAGAGCATTAGGTTTTTCTCTTTGAAAGGGAAGCTCTTGTTTAAGACACATAAAGATAAACTTGTGCCGAGATATATTTGTTTGTTTACACATGGAGTTGGCTGTTTGAAATCATATGTGGAATGCCCATAGTTCCTAGCTAAGGAAGAAGCCTCTGTCGAGATGGATGCTTTAACGAAAATGGAAGGAAGATTTGAAAGAATTCAGTATTCTAGTTACTTTCTCATTCTCTGGTTTTCGGGAACCCATTGAAGCTTCCCTGATTGTAGTTGGTTATTCGAGTAGAACAGAGGAACACATAGTTTCTGATAAAGTTATTATACAAGTTTATTTTGCAACTCGTTCTGGGTTTTTTTGTTCTTATAGAAGACAGACATGAGGTTGAAAGAGTCCTTCGGTATTCTCAATCAAGTAGGAAGCTGACGGATAACAAAAGTTCCAATTTGAGATATCGTGAATGAACTTGTGGCATCAATTGTCTATATTTCTTTTATTGCATCAAAAAGTTGGAACTTTGTCTTTTCATGATAGAGATATTATGAAATTGTAGTTTTCGTCTGTCTGTTTTAGATATCTTGAGGAATTGCGACATTAGGAAAAGTGAATTTATCAAACAGAAAAATTTGATATTCGACTGTGTGTGACAGTGATAAACAGGAAGAATATTTGCAAGGTACCATTTTCGTTTTCCATGGTTGTTGTGCTTTCTATATGAGAAAAGATTTGTCTTGTTAGTTTTATGAGTTGTTGAGATCATCCATG